TTATCACAGGTATTCGACGTTGTCTATTAGATATACGATCAAGTTTTTTATTATCATTGAGTTTTATCTGTACAGTTTTATTTTTGTTAACGAAGTTACTACTCGAACTGAAGGTCCTCATTTAAGCTCACAAAGAATTCTCGTGACGACACCGCCATGGCTAAATAACTATGTTGTTGACAGGTATCCATAAGATACTGCGTGAAAACATTAGTACCATCGTCCATGAAATAATCCTGGACAAGTTACTAACGGCTGTTCGTCCAGGATTACCTATTCGGCAGCATGCTGACTACATTATGACATAAGCCTGCTATTATGGTTAGTATGTAGTGGGAGAGCCCAACAAATCTGTATTGGGCCAGCCTTCTGTCCAGAGTGAAGTCCATCGGGATGGTCCCAAATCCACTTGGATCCTAGTCCGAAAATTTTGAACCCAACCTGTTCTAGTCCAGAGCTATAACTAGTATTAGCTGTATCCATTATTTGATATTTCAATAAATACTTAAGAATAGCTCGAAAGTTCAGTGAAACAATCATAACTCAGCTTCAGCAACCCATGAACACGAACTCTTTTAAGAATTTTCTAGTTTTACCAAGATCTTCTTGTAGATCCAATATAAGTTCAAACGATGAATTAGTGTTCGAGTAATTGTCTGATAAGAGTTAAAAGTAAAGATTTTTATTTAGTCTTATTTATCTTTTAAAAACACAAAGTAGAAGAACATGAAAATAAGAAAAAAAAAGATTGTTTTTCTACGTTCACTACTTTTCTTTTTTGTTCTTTCTTTTAGAATAAATAGGAAATAATTCCATTAAGTTTTCATCATTGATTTAATTGATTTATGAACATCACTATATCGTTGCTGGTAATACGTGGGATCAAAATAAACTGTTTTCATTTTGTCTGTTCCATAATAGACGAACACCGTCTGAATGGAAAAAAAAACTTTCTATATTCAAAAAATCTTTAAGAATAAAAAAACAAAAATCATACGAAGATTGTTAAAGCAATAACAAAAATAACCGAAATTATATTCCAAATTAAAGCATAACGTGAATAACGTCGAGCTTTATCATGAAAATTAACATCCGCTTTAGCCGAACTTTTTATTGAATAAGCTAATGCAATAAGACCTTCGAATAAAAATCTAATTAAGTAAAACTAAAAACAAAAAAAATCAGTTCTTCTTTTTACCTGTTGCTGGACATAAACAAATAGTTGAAATAAGTGAAAATAAAAAGTGATGAGGAATTCGTACATGTGCTGGTTGCATACGAATTGGTTCATCAATTAGAATTGCTGAAGATGGTTTAGCTATATTCAAAACATAAATTTTCAATTATAAATTATATGTTATTCGTTTATTTTTACTTTTATTTGAATCTTTTTTTTCACTAGACGTATTCATGACAATTTTGTTCATATATTTGTATCTATAAACGATTAACCTATCGAGGTAAAAAATACACTTACTCGAACTTAAACTAAATTAAGAAATACGATTGGTGTCGACAATGAGCAAAGCCAATTAAATCGATTCGTTTGTTTTTTTATTTGTGGATTATATCGATTACCTTGAGAGCATTCAAGCAGAAAAAATAATATGTGCATTGTGTTGCTCACGGAGAGAGAACAGATGAAGGTTAACAAAGAAAAAATAATACATATTGTTGATCCTACGGACATCTGTATAAAGAAAAAGAACAATTCATTAAATGTGATTGGTTAAAATAAGAGACCTTCAACTTTGGATAATATTTCCACGAGTAAACAATGTTTTTGATCGTTCAAACAAAAAGTGCTTTGGAAAATTAATAAATAATGAGTGACAATTGATTTTATGTAAATGCTTTATTGAGATAATCCATATTTGTAATTTATACTATATAAATAAATAATGCTTATCATTTTATTAATTATTTACAAAAAAAAAGAAAATATGGAAAAAAAATATTTCCTTACGAGCCAATATTATTGTCTGAGATATAGATTACCTACTTCCATAAAAGGAAACTCCTATTGTCTATTCTAATTTCAGAATGTCTCTTGTTCTTCGAAATATCATTCGTCGATGTCCATGGACAATAATTAATAAAGGTTCTCTTCGTTTTTGGTCATCAAATGGTCAATTTCCTTCACATCCAATGGGTACAGAAGAATATGAAAATCAACCTCGTAAATCTATTACTGAATTACCGGATGAATTAACCGAACATGGAATTAAACCAAAATTTATTTCTGGATATGAAACAACAAAAGATGGTTGGGAATGGGTAGATAATATTCTTTTTAAATCTAAAATACCCGAACCACCTAATCATCCAACTCCATCTGGTTGGATTCCACCTAATCCAATACTTGCTCGTCAATGGCCATATTTTGTTGATCGAGATCGTTTTCATTCATATGCACTTTATGTACGTATATTACCTGTTATGCTTGAATATTGGTTACATGAACAACATCGTTATTATTTAAATATATTTCGTCGTCGTGTTGAATATGATATATATGCACAACGAACAAGACGTTTTAGTTTACTTGAATTAATATCAGGTGATATATGGGCATTAGATCATGATTTAAAAAATTATTTAACTAAACGTGTAGAATTAACAAATGATAAATCAAAAGAATTACCTATTTTATCACAAGTTGATGAAATTAAACGACATATACTTATTGATGGAGAATATGAAGAATGGGTAGCTGATTTTTTAAAAGAAAAAGGATTTTGATCAATAAATAAAATTGTATAGAAGACTAAAAAAAAAGAATAAAAAAATTAGATATCTGTTTTGTTTTCTAGATTCATTATGTATTTATCAAATTATAATAGATTAAAATTTTTATGTTCAATTCAACCAAAATTTAGAAAACTTATTATTCGAACATTATCTGCTTCTTTACTATCAAAACGAATTGAACAACCAAAAGATGCTCATTCGAATTTATTAACCAATGATGAACATGTTTTTGAGGTTCAACACCATGTTGTTAAACCAAGTGCTATGGTAAATAAATTTCTTTAAAATTTAATTCGAATTAAAAATCGAAATTAAATAAAAATACAAAAGTGCAACATAATCTTAACTTTTTTTGCTCAAATTATCGATTATAATACGTGATTAATATCGTTTATCGATGAAGACCTTTAAATTCATTGGATTATTTTTCGAATTTTGTAATCTAAATGCATTTTGTTATTGTAAAATAATAGACAAGGAAAATGATTCTGATCGAATAAATATGATGAGTGCAACGTTTATGGTGCCCTTAGAAGAACAGGTATATTTTTTCTTTGTATAATTTAACATTTGAAACCCTCGAAATAAAGAGGAAAAAGAAACATTCGAAAATTAAATGTTTAGCTTCAACTACACAAGAAAATATGTCTAGAAGTATGATGTAAACAGCATGAAACTTCTTTTAAAAAACAACGTAATAAAGAGAATAACGTATAAAGTAATTTGTTTAACATCTTCCTATAATAGTTTGTTGGTTACATTTACCTGGATTATTATTTAGACATCTCAAATTGTTACCTACACTAACCAATTTTGATATCGTTAGAAACAAAAAAAACACATGTACTTTGAGTACAGATGTTAAAGGGCAAGATGTCTAATACATTATTTTTTCAACAAGAGTACATATAGATAATAAAATATATGATTCGTTTAGAATGACTATGAATTAATTTTTAATGATTATACATCACAATTAAAGGAGAAGAATTCTTCAAATGGTCTTGTTCATACTGGATCATGGAAAGTACATATTGGTAATATACAAAATCAATATGTACATATATGGATGTATAAAAATTTTGCTCATTTGGATGAATTTGTTGGTAGTCCAAAATCAAATTTAAATTCAAATAAATTACATGAACATATTGTTCAACATTCAAATCAAATTTGTCTTCCGTTTTCTTATTTTGGTTCGAAAAACCAAAAAACCAAAAAATAATAAATGTTTAAAATTCTCTTTTTTTTCCTTTAAATATAGGAATTCCTCAACCACGATCAAAATCTGATGATCAATCAAGTCCAAATATTTATGAAATGCGTTCATACTGGCTTAAACCAGGTACATTAATTGAATGGGGAAACTTATGGCATAAAGGTGTACAATATCGACCTGATGCAAAGGTTCTTGGTGTTTTTTCACAAATTGGTGAACTTTATAATGTTCATCATATGTGGTCATATCAAAATTTTCAACATAGAAAACAAATGCGTACTAATGCATGGGCTAAACCTGGTTGGTCAGAGAAGTATGTTTGAACATATTTAATCTTTTTTTTTTTTGTGAAATACGATGTCAAAGGAATGCTAAAGTATAGAAGTAGAATTTTGGATCTTCCCACAGTTGTGACAGATGCTTTAGCAACACTCCGTCTCAGGAATGGAACAGGTCAGGCCAGTATACCAGCTAGTTCGCCGATTGCTGGTACCAATCCATCTCTGTTTCTCTCGTCCCCACATCACAACAATTACAGAGTGTATATGAAGAACGTTCCGTTATAATATATGATCCACTTGTTTATTGAGTTTTTGGAGATAGATAGTGAAGAAATGTGTCTCAAGATAGATGGAATCAAATAATTTTCGTGTGATTAGTAACAGTAGTTGCATTGTGTTTCACATTATAATACCACAGAGATTGTGCTAATAGTTTTTTCTTTGATAAAGACTTTTTTTCTTTTTGTTATTTAGTGTTGAATATACAGTACGGTTAATTCATAAAATGGAATCAAAGATACTTGTACCATTAAAAAATTCACCAATGCAATAAAACAAGAAATAATGTTTATGGTAGATTAATAATAGTTACTAAGCAGTGAAGTTGCAATTTCAATTATTTAATGCTGTGCTTTTTTTTAATTATTAGAATCAATTACTTATTCTACTTTATTGATATGTATTATAAGTCAATGCTATTGTTCCTTTTTTTGTTTTAAGATTGTGAATTTCTTTTGAAATATATTAATATGGCTGAAGCCGATAAAAAAAATGACAACAGTTCATCATCTAGTCAACCAAATAATGAAGAACAACAAGGAGAGCTTGAAGCTCTTGAAGAAGTAAGTAAATGTTTATCTTGATTTTATAATTTTTTCTTTTACTGAATAGATCAAAGGTCTTTGTAGTTAGTTGAATTATAATTATTCTATATCACATATTCAAATGTTTTTCATTTTAATCGGTTCTTTTTTAAATTTTAGAAAAAAAAAATTTCTTATTCTTGTAAAATATTTTTCAAATAGATTTCCTATTGTAATGAAACAATAAGAGATTTTTTCGAAAGAGAAAATCGATTTATCATCAAGCTAATTGTGTAATATTTTTTTTTAAATATCAAAAATAATAATTTTTGTAGCGCAATGCTCGCCGGAGCTCAACATCCATAAGTGATATACAAATCCAGGAAAAAGTAAATAAATCCTTACACTTATGTATATTTGTTCAATTGTAATCTTTCAATGTAAAATTAACAGACATACTGTAATAAAAAAAAATATAACTACTATCGGAATTTTAAAAGAAGGCACCTG